GGGGGGGGTGCTGAGTTCCCAACAGCGGTAACTTTTTTGTCCACTAGAAAAACTCACAAAAATCTCACCAGATGAATATCAGGCCTTCGTCACGTTCTTACCATTACCCTATGGTAATTGTTCCTAATTTCGTATTAGACGTGTAAGAAAGTCCTATGTAATGCGTATACATGGTCATATGAGTATATATACGTATGTACGCGTATACTACCTATAATACGTATATGGAACGTATGTACTTAGCTACGTAGCGTAGACGCGCCCTTAAAACTTTACGACCGGAAGTTGACCCGTGGCAGTACCTGTGCAGCCATAGTTTCGCCTTACGGCCAATTACATAATTAACCGTAATAAGAAAAGGAGAATCGACAGAGTATAGTTAGGTTAGGTCGAACAGAAGGAAAGAGGAATACGTGTGCGCCAGTTTTTTTTTTTTTTCTTTTTGCAGTACGCGTCAGTTCAGTCGCACGTAAATTTTGCCTTATCGTTGTACTCGCTTGCCAGAGTTCAGCTGGGGACAGTACCAGGTCTCTTTACTTCGTTTCCTTGTGGCTGACTCCTTCGGCGATATGTGTCGGGACAGTATAGACCTCTGTGTTGAGTTGAACGACTTAGTTCGTTTAACTGACGTGCTGTGGCGCGACGATCGCGGAGCGAGGTAGAATTACCTTTATGCATGTACCTGTCGCATTGTCATAGATGGCACTAGTGTCGACTTTGCGAAGTGGGGGTGGCTGGTTGGACGCTTATTGGCGGGATATGGGGTCTGATCGACCTGGTGGGAGGTTTGCTCGGTATGCAGTGTGGTTTGGGTACTGTAATTTGCCAGGCGATATTCTCTACCCCCCCATCCCACCCCCCATCCCACCTGAGCGCCAAGCTAAATCGCCTATGCCTATCGGCGCTTGTTATCAACCGGAAGAGAGCGCAGCGCTATCTCAATCTCTGGCGCACCAGAAAAAGGTGCGCATCGATAATTATTCCTCGTAAAACTAGCGACGTGTGCCGAACGCGTATTACGCTGGTAAACCTGGAGGAAGTCGGGTTGGGTTAGGTTAGGATGGGATGGAAACTTTAGACGAAGGTAAGAAGACTCGTTGAGGATCTTGAAATATATGTAATTTTGATATATTTAATGTTGGGTGGTGGGGGGGTGGGGGGGTAAATTAGTTTTAGGGGCTTTTCTCATTGGTTAAATATTATAGAACTGTCACGTCTGGAAATCTTTTGGGAATGTACATGTGTGGTTGGGTATGTATGCTTATGTTGTAAACTGTGGGTTCTTTTTTTCTGTCGAGAAGAAGGCGGTGCTCTCAGAACATGCATCTTCTTCGAGAGCAAATTCTCTTCTTTATTTACCTCTGGTCCATCTCTTGGGCCAGCTTAATGGTAGATCAATCAATAGGCTGGTTGAACCATCCCTCATGCCCTTTTACCTCGTGTGCCTCCCTCATCCCTTACAACCTTCACTGCCATCTCCACCTCCAGGCAGACCTAACGAGCTCATCGGTCGTGAGAGAAAGAAAAAGTATAAAGAGAAAACTGTGAGGAAACGGTTTTTGAGATACGGCAAGGTGATTGGTGGTGACGGTTGACGTACAAATATTTTCAAATAAAATATTTTTTAATGGTTATGAGAATAATTGAAAATTTAGTCAATACGAAAGAAAAAGGTGGTAAAAAAATATGTATCATTTTGCAAGTTTTCTACACTAAAATAGCGGGAGAAATTGTAAATCTTGAAAAATACAAACAAAAAATTCAATATCGTCAAAACGTCTCCAGTAGGGCAAGGGTGTCAAGTTGGAGTATAAAGTACGGATGCGCATGCGAGGAAGAAAAATCGAGGATCGAAAAAAAATCCTCCAGAGAATTCTCGCTCATATTATAAAAGCAATTAGAGGGTTTCAGATTAGATATAGCACATCGTACATAACAAATATGATAATACGCCTCGTCGGGCCCTTAGGGTCCGGTCTTAGGTTTTTGGGCCCAGTACCAAAGGGCTGGAGGGGGAGTTCAGGTTACGAGGCGGGTTAAACGGAATCATTAATAATCGTGGCTAACTAATCTGTCTGTCGCTATGAGCATACTTGTTTCCCTCCTGTTTTTATTAGTTCAGTATATATATATATATGTATATATATATGGTAACGTTTTATTTTATCCAATATCCACAATTTTGTATTATTTCGTATTATTTCCTGTAATAACTATGTAAATTAATCATTCAATTTTATCGTGTCTTACAGTTGTACGAGATCAACGACGATCCGAAGAGGAAAGAATTTCTCGATGATCTCTTCAGTTATATGCAAAAACGTGGTAAGTCATGAGAAAAAAATTATCGTTATCATTTTTTTTTTTACTTTAATTTTGAGAATTTTGAAAAATTTCGAAATTTACAAATATTTTTACCTACAATTCGTAACTATCGTCATCACGATCAATGCCAATGAATATGACTAATCGTCGTCCCCTTTAATGCGCGTTTATTATTAAATATATACGGCACTTCGCATCAAGTATGAATCGAACAAATATTGATCTTACTGATCAAGCGCTGACGCAAATCCAAGGCTCGAATTATACATTTGAAAGTCAATAAATTCCAATTCGTCGTCGTACAAGTCACTCGACCAATGACGATATTGAGAAACTTGAGATTTTAATGCAATCAAATTTTTGTTCAAAAGCTAGTATTCACTTTTTGAAGTCATTAACACTGCGGACCTTGGGCGTGTTACGCGACGATTTCTGGCAATTTTCCCTGGCGCGCTGAACTCAGATCACGTGTCTCCGCCTCCTGCTGCTATAGGAAATCTACGTGGCATTTTTTGATTAATGTATGCCGAAAACAATATATGTCAAAAATTGCTCGGAATATTAAAAAAAAAAATTTACTTTGACTTCGTGTGGGTGTATTTTTATATTTTTGTTTGTTTTACTTATGTTTAATTCACTAACCGTTTTTTCCTAGTCATTTACCTAGGATGTGCTAAGCTAATTATATATACATTTTATTATCATAAGGGTGGTTATCCTGTCCGTTGAAGTTGCACGTGCTCTACCCGCATTTCATTTCCTGCACACGTGAATATCCTGGACCCGAGGATCTCTCACCTGTGTTTCACGTATTTTTTTTTTGTGTACAGTGCGTTTCAGTTTTTAATTTCCTACAATCAACTGGAAAGAGTTTACGGAGTGTAATAGTAAAAGATATAATTAAAGAGAATTTGATTCGAGTACTATTTTTTTTAAATATCTTTTGGATATGAATTTTTTATGCTGCTTGACAACAATCGATACACGGAGAGAATTTTTCGTTCTTTTTTCCCCGTGAAATTCACGATAAAAATTTCCATTTCATTACTTATTCCTTATAACACGATATTTTCAATGGTTACAAATAAATTTTACTGCTTTTTATAAAACTTACCTGACTCGATCTAAAATTCTGTTATTTTCAAAAAAAAAAAATCTCATTGATATTTTTATACCCTATGGAAGTTGACTCATCCATTCGATCTCTACGGTTGAGACTTTTCAAAAAACCTACATTTATTAATCTGAATTTTACTTTTCGTAGAGAATAATTAAAACAAATAGGTATAAATTAAACAAGAATTTATTATATTAATACTATTACTTAACAACATATTAGCTACCATTGCTCATACGTACTGCATGTGTATCAATCCAACAATACATTTTATTAAAATCGATAAACGCTATATGTATAATCATAATTGTTAGTAAATCACTTCATCGGATTGCCGGCGTTCATAAAAAAAAAATATATCTTTTACCAACTTTGCGATTGCGATTGCGATAAAACGTCCTCATGGACATCAATTAAAAATTTGTCAGCATTATAGAAAAATGGTTCATCTTCGGAAGACACCATTACGATGTTATCCTATAAGAATGTCGACTCCTTTAAAATTAATGCTGTTAATGACGGAAACTACTTCACAACTTTCTATGTGAAAGTAAAGAAAATTGCAAAAATGATTTATTATCAGATTGTACGATAAGAATTTTCGAAGTCTTACGAAAAATATATGTCACGATGTTTTTCGTGGTTGTCTTCGAAGGTACGAAAATTAATGCAATCCAGGGAAAAATTGAATGTGGCGCGCGAGACAGTTCGGCTGTTTTCGATGACTTTAAATTCAGCAAGGTAAAAGCTGTAGTTTTACACTAAATAATTTCAAGTTTCGAAATTTTTACCCGCACGTTTCGGTAAAAGCTGACGTGTCATGCTTACTTTTTAATATATTTTTGTGAGTAGCTCTTAAATACATAAGTAATATCTTATGAAATACCATGATATCCCGTGATTACCGTGTGTCTTTCACGTTAATTTTTCATGAAAAATTCTCTCCGTGTAGAATTTTTAATAATTTTCTTGGATACAAAAAACCGTTACAGTAAGATTGCCGTAAATTTTTACACGGTGACCATTTGTAGATTTCTGACACTATACATACATATAACATTGTGATAACATTCCATACGTAGAAGGATTTGACGAATAATTTTCAAAAATCATTCACTTATTATTCCATGGTACGGACGATCCTAGTAGGAAAAACTATTAGGAGTTACCAATTTTGTCCACACACGACGTGGCTAATTGGCAAAAGTAAATAGTCGTGTCCTATGAATTTTCAAAATTCAGATTTTTTTCTAGCACACGTGCTCAAAAGATTTATTAATATTGCCTATCTACTTCCATTGTGTAAGGTGGAACTTTGCGCTTAGAATTGTTTTTGCATCAACGGTATAAGCCCTATGTACAGTAAAAATCAATAAATCGCTTACAAATAGCGCGAGGTAAGAATTTCACAGAAATTATACCTGTAACAAAAGTGATTACATAAAAAAAAATGATTACACAAAATTACTTTTGCATCTGAAATTCCCATACATATTATTTCATCATACGGGTAATCCTAGTGGCAGAAACTATTAGTAGTAGTCAGTCTTATCTATGCACGATGTGGCTTCTCTGCCAAAGTAAATAGTCGCATGGATCTTCGTGGTTCCGAACATTTTAAGCGCGTCCGATTTTCGTAATTCATAGGACACCCATCGGGTGGAATAACAAAAATAAATTGCACGGTCGATTACTAAGTGGATATTGATTCTGTCGAAAAATAAAAAAGAAAAGGTAAAGTCCGTAAAAATAATTTCCAAAAAATTCTCAACAGGCCTCGATGGTCAATCGAAATTGATCGAGATGCAATTTTAAGTAAAATCCAATTTTTGGAAATTCGTATAAAGAGAACAAAGTTAGTCGCTATCGAATAATGGAAGTGTGTGTGTGTGAGAGAGAGAAAGAAGAAAATAAAATGAATAAAATAAAAAGAGAGGGACACGACGGCGTTAGTCGAGCGACCGGAAACGTCGAGGCCTCTAATTATAAACATGGCGACTCGTCCATCAATCAACCGCTAGGAGATGTGTCAAGTCTCCTCATGCTTCCATCGTATCCCCTTTTCCTCCCCTGGACCAGCCCAGCACTTCTATCCTCATCTCTTCTCATCTCTTGTACAGAGGCTCGTGGCCTAACTTTGAGTCGCGAGATGGGTGCTATTATTGTCTTGCCTCCCTGGCAATAATTAGAGTGGATTAGATCAACAGCAGAGACTCGAGCATATTCGATGGCCAGAATATGGCTGTTTGAATTATGATCGATAAGCAATTAATTACTATAGAATAAAAGGACAAAAAAAAAGTCAATAATTACACGAAACCTATACGCAGATTTATTTAAAATCGTATCATTATAATCGATCGAATTATCAATATAAATTATAAATTCAATAACTTATATGATCACCACACCAATTGGAACCAAACCACCAACTTTAGGTGTTAAGAATTTGAGTTTTGTCTATAATAATTAATTTGGATAAAAAATGAGGATATTATTAGACTTATTGAATTTGGAATAGAATCGAAATTAATCGATCACATTGATTAGATTAGTCATCAAGCAAGATAGCCCAGAAAGAACAATCGACTCTGATCATGTTCTATAGCTCAAAGAACATGTTGAGGTTATTTTGTAGAAACCGAACAGTTCCGACGTTATCCGAACACATCCGAATATACCAAATATGCAATATTAATAACTTGGAATTTGATTTTTTTTTTTTTCTGTATTCACGCCTTCACCACCGCTGCCACGTGTTAATCACGAAAGGAACAATCAAAGCGTTAATTAGTTTTAAAGATGGCACTATTGTTGTCGATTACACAAAAATTTGTCATCAAATCGAAATCAATAGGTATGCTACAAAGTATCGATCAACTTCACAATCGTTTACGTGTCTCTTCGATAGAGATGGATCCGAATCAGTCCGAGTACTCATCCAACATGGAAGCTTAGAAAGATCCAATAGAAGCCGATAACGTTCTACGAGAGCTTTCAAAGAATGTATTTGAGGTTATGTTACGTCAGGATGAATCCGTGTATCATTCCGTGACGAGTCTTTACTCCGGGTACAAATACTTTATTGGTCCTTAAGCCCCCCTGTAGGTTAGGTTATTGTACGCTGGCGTTAGGAACCCTAACCTCTACTATAATTCAACACTAACCTACTGAGCCAACACCTTGCCCGACTACGAGACGTATAAAAGACCATTCATCACCTCAGCCTATTAGTCGAGCCAGCACCAATTTGTGTTTGCTATCAGCACTCACCAAATACTTCCATTCTACGCGCCTATACTTATTTTCACCTAGATCATTTTACATAACTTCATTTTTATCCACCCCCCACCCCCCTCTCCCCCAACCATACTTAGTATCGAGGTACTAGAGAATTAGAACCTCAAGGGACATAAAGACTGTATGGTGAGACTGAGATATTCCGGTAACAAAATTTCCCATTGCCAATGGTATTAAATGATTTTCCATCGATTTCCATTGCTGTACCAGAGATTACCTTTGAAAAGAAATACATTGCCAAAGAAAAAATGTTCTATAGGATAGACAATTGTTAAAATATAAAATTTTTTCATCACACGCAATTTTCATATAACGCACTATCTGTAAAAATTACATTTACAAGAATATCCCATCTCGTAATAAAATTTCAACATGGGCTTTCTCACCTTCTGTATGGCCATTAGAGAATTTCTTGTTATATTATGATTATTATAAATAGTGATCGACCGATCCAATCGATAAGAAAAGGTTAATCAAGATCGTTATTGATCCTAAATGAAAATTCTTCGGCAGCCATCTTGACGTTTTCAGGTAATTTGTCTGTCATTAATCATCCCTGTGCGTGCGTGTGTATACATATATA